TACAGGCACCAGGATTTTCACGGGGCAGGCTAAGCAAAGGAACCGCAATTCTGATGCAGAGTGTGAGGCCGGCCAAGCAACGGAACTGGAAATAGCAAGGCTGGCCGAGAAAGCTGCAGTGGAATTTTCTGCAGCCTGGGGACCTCTGTATTATTCATGAATTTAAAAGTTTAGAATTTTACCAAACTGTCCAACCAAACTAATACTCCTTAAGTTAGTAGCTCAGAAGCTTTTAGTTAAAGGAACAACAAATTAAAGGTGCCCTAGAGAGAAAATAGCTAACCACCCTTTAAAATAGTTAAAAGCTTTGGGACAGCTATCACTCGGCTATTAAAATTTACTATGTAATCTTGTGGCTTTAGAAGGAAATTAGAGAACCCCCATCGCTTTTTTGCTCTTTGCTCCCCATGATATTTCTTAATTATTGGTTGGTACAGCCAATGGTTTTTTAAGCTGTCTTACTGGTAGGACTGTTTGCACAGCTGTAAACACCTTTTATTTTTGTTATTGAAGGTAGTTCAACTTGAACTATGTGTGAATGATTAAAACCAATCCAAACTGTTGTAAGTAAACAAGGAAAATTTTGATGTGTAGGATTGTTAGTTTCATTTGTGGTTACCTTAATATTTACCCCTGTTTTTCTAAGTTTAAACCAATCTTTTATTTCTTTATATCACCTTGACTTCCTCTCCATATGAAAGATCTATGACTACATTTTTTTAGTTCCTCTTTTTTGTTTTAATGTTGTCATCGATTATATATCGATGGCTCTGTTTCCCTATTAACAGTGTTTTAGCTTTGATTTATTTTTGTGACTTCCCTATCTGGGTTGATATCTGGTTGCTCCCTCCTGTGTTCTAGTCTTGGGTTGTTATCTGATGGTATTGATTTTCTAACCAGAGGACTCAGTTTGGTATTTCTTGTCATTTTGGCTTGGTTTTTGCAAATTCGCTAAACTTCTGTTTATCTGGAAATGCCCTAATTTCACCATCATATTTGAGAGACAGTTTTGCTAGATATATAATTCTTGGCTGGCAATTTTTCTCCTTCAAGTCTTTATATATGTCATCCCATTGCCTTCTGGCATTCACGGTTTCTACTGAGTAGCCCAAGCTTAGTCTTATTGACTCTCCTTTGTAGATGACTTTTCGTTTATCCCTAGCCACTCTTAAAATTCTTTATCTTTGGTTTTGGCAAGTTTGATTATAATATGTCTTGGTGACTTTCTTTTGGGATCTACCTTGTGTGGGGTTCTATGAGCATCTTGAATAGATATCTTCTCATCTTTCACAATATAAGGGAAGTTTTCTGCCAACAAATCTTCAACAATTCTCCCTGTATTTTGTTATCCCCCCTGTTCTGGTACTCCAATCACTCATAGGTTATTCCTCTTGATAGAGTCCCACATAATTCTTAGGGTTTCTTTATTTTTTTAAATTCTTTTATCTGATTTTTCCTTAAGTGAGTTCGTGTCAGGTACTTGGTCTTCAATCTCACTAATTTTGACTTCCATTGCCTCAATTCTGCTCCTATGACTTTCTATTGAGTTATCTAATTATGAAATTTTATTGTTAATCATCTGGATTTCTGTTTGCTGCCTCTCTATGGATTCCTGCAGCCTGTTAAATTTGCCATTATGCTCTTCTATAATCTTCTTAAGTTCCTCTAGTGCTTTGTCTGTGTGTTCCTTGCCTAGTTCTGCATTTTGAATGATTTCCTTCCTGATATCTTGAAGAGTTCTGTATACTAATCTTTTGTATTCTACCTCTGGTAATTCCAAGAAGTTCTCTTCCTCCGGAAAATTTCTTGATTCTTTGTTCTGGGAGCTTGCTGAAGCCATCATGATCTGCCTGTTTATGTGACTTGATATTGACTGTTATCTCCGAGCTATCAATAAGTTATTTTATTTATTTATTTCTGTTTGCTTAGTATGTCCTAGCTTCTTGTTTTGTTTTGTTTTGATATGCCCACATAGGCTGCTTGTGTGAACTAGTTTGATTATTGGCTCCTTTGAAGCTCTTATGTCCTGTCACCAAGTGGTTGGCTCTGTTACTAGGTATGTGAGCCCAGAAGTCTGTTTACTTTTCTTGTATGGATTCAACTCAGGTGTCCAGGTAGTCAGTCACCAAGTATGTGGTGCAGGTTCTCACCTACAGTCCTAGACAGGCAGGGGTGATAGGAGTAGGCACAGGTATCTGGCTGCAGTAGGAGATCACATGGTGAGCAAGGCAGGGGGCTGACGGCTGCCCCTGAGTGTCTAGGAAGAAAGCGTGTCCCTATTCCCTAGAGTGCGTAGGTGGGTAGGTTTTGCAGCTAGACTATTGGCAACCAATGCTGTTGACTATAAGGACTGGGAGGCACAACTTATTCTTGGACCCCTGTCGTAGGTGGCTAGGTGGCATGGGTGGAGGCACCAGTCCTCAGGCACCTGATGTGGATAGGCGAGGACCCTGCTAAATGGGCAGAGCGGTGTCAAATGTCACAAACCTGCCACTCCACCATATAGCTGATACAGTTGAAGTTAGGCTTCAGGTATATACCCTGTTGCATTGTGCTAATAAGGGCCTACGCTATTGAAATGGGCCCATACAGGTCTATGCAGGGGTGAAAGGCGTTCAAAGTCCATGGACCTCTTATGCCTGTGCCTACGCAAAGGAGCTGTGCCTGCACTGAGTTGCCAGCTTAGGGGAGCTGGCAGATTATTTTTTCCTGTTTGTTAATTTGTTCCCTCTCCAAGGCCAGGAGAATGGCTTAGGGTGCATGACAGGACCTACTTCTGGCCCAGGGGACACAGCTATCGCTGAAGCTGGCCCGAGACCTGGTGTTGAATGGAAAGGAGGCAGATAAATGGGAGAGAGGTTCTTCCCAAATGGGGTGTTTTTTGATCCACCTGGTGGGTTAGATGCACGTACTTATCTTTTGCCAATTGAGCACCACTTTTCACTGGTTCTGGAGGCTTGAATAAGCTCTCCATCACTTGGTCTCTCCTGATGTGGAAAATGTATCCTGAAAGCCACTGCTTGCCTCACTGCGCACACCAGCCAATCCGGCCTGCAGGGCACCGGTTCCTGCCAGGTCAGGTCTGGCAACTCCTTGCTGCTTCTGAACCGTCTCTCCCTCCTCCTGCCACTCAGTCCAATTCCTCAACTTTATCTTTGATGTTCAGGGCTCCTATACTATCATATATAATCAATTCACTTGTTTTTTCTGGTCTTTGTTGTAAGAGGGACCACAGGAAGCATATAACTACTCTGCCATCTTGGCCCCACCTCTAAACAAGGAAAATTAATGCCTCATTAACTCAAAAGGCCACAGGAGGGCTGGCTTCTGTCTTGGCATGATGAAGCAGCTCCAGTAATATCTCTGGGGAGCTTTTCTTTTTCTCCAAGGTTCCAGTCTAATTCTCTCAGTAGATGACATGTTCTAAGACAAGCTTCCCCCACCTAACCGTTGTTGTAACCAGGAGATGGCTAGACTAGCTCCCCAGGCTCAATGCTTTGAGGTTCACATGATCAGGAAGCAGAACTTCCTACCCCCAACCATCAAACTCAGGTCCAGGGCCTGCACTAGTTATTATGCCTCCTGGGATGGGATGCACCTATTCTCCCAAAAAGGGCTATTCATTCCAAAAGTTGGCAGGTTTGGAGGGTGGGAAGAGGCAATCCCACCTAAACCACCTCTGAATGGAGGTACAGGTGGGTCCCCAAAGGAAATTGGGGATGCTGTCTTACCAGAAGAAGGCTGGTTTGCTGGTTGGCCAAGACAAACAGTTAGTAGTTATAGAAAGCAATCTAAATGCCGATGTTGTTACTTACCAGTCATGCTTTGTTTTTCATCCTAGAATCAGGGCCACTCAGCTAGTTGTTCTGGATGTTTAAACGTGGTAGGAAAAGGTCTGTTGAATATTCAAAAGAAAAACTTACGTACATTAAGAGAGGCCAAAGTCCAATATTGCTTGTGTTAAATTCACCAGATCATGGCTAGATTAAAATGCGTCTTCCAAATATAACATCCTTTGAGACTACAATGACATGAAAGGAGTGCAGTATAACTGACTCTAACCCTCAGGGTTTTTTTTTCTGCCTGTAAAATGGGCACAATAATTGCAGCTTGACATGGTTTTTGGAAAGATTAACTATTATGATTTCTGTAAAGCACAGTAACCCAATGCCTGACCCATCAAAAACCAAACCAAACCAAACCAAACCCATTTTCATCACGTCGATTCCGATTCATAGAGACCTTATAGAACAGAGTAGAACTGCCCCCATAGGATTTCCTGGCGCCCTGATGGCGCAGTGGTTAAGAGCTATGGTTGTTAACCAAAAGGTTGGCAGTTTGAATCCACCAGCTGCTCCTTGGAAACCCTATGGGGTAGTTCTACTCTGTTCTGTAGGGTCTCTATGAGTCAGAATCAACTCCACAACGAGTTTGGTTTTAATCTTTATGGGAGCAGATTGCCAGGTCTTTCTCCCATGGAGCGGCTGGTGGGTTTGAACCACCAACCTTTTGGTTAGTAGCCGAGCATTTAACCACTGCACCATGAGGGTTCCTTTGACCCATCAAAGTGCTCAGTAAATGTGAGTTTCTAAATCTGCCATCTTTGTCCTAATGTCATCATCAAAGTTAGCCTCATTTCCAAATCATTTTCACGAGGTTGCTGTGAAATGACACATATATGTCGACATCTAATGTACAGAGTACACCCAAACCCAGGAAATACAGCATTCTGGAATGTGTCAGATGTCCTCTTAAACAAGGCCAGAAAATAGATTCCATCCCTATGGACAGCTCCAGTTGATTAGTGGTGGGTGGCTTGTATTGGAAGAGATTTCAAAGGCACACCTAGACACTGTAGGTGAGAGTTCAGTGTCCAGTTGAAGACTCCTGCCCAAGCTGGAGGAGCAGGGAGAGGCAGCCTGAACAACCCGCTTGCCACATGTCCAGAGCAGTAACTCAAATCTAAACGCCTTCTTCTCTGTTGTACTTTGCTTTCACAGACGCTGGAAAATCCCAAGTATGAACTGATCATCGAGGCCCAAGATATGGCGGGACTGGATGTTGGATTAACAGGCACTGCGACTGCTACCATCATGATTGATGACAAAAACGATCAGTCTCCGAAATTCACCAAGAAAGAGGTAAGCCCTTGCTGAGTGCCACCACTGCAGTCACGCCCAGGATTACTGATCAATATTCGTTCCCCTACTGGCTTCCTATATGCAAAATCAAAAATCTGCCTTTGTGGAAGAGGGGATGATGTGTCGCCAGAACATTTTTTCACATTTTTATCTTATTTCCTGTGTGGAGCTGAAAATACCAGAGCACCATGAGAACAAAAGCACTGAATCTTGTTAAAGTCCAGAAAAAAATAACAACTTTTAATGCCTAAGTGCCATTTTCACAGTTTTATTGGTATTATTTAACGCTGACTTATGGGAGTCCCATTGTGATTTTAGCATAACAATAACTATATTTTTAGCGAATACAGATTGAGAGGCTAGACGGAACAGCAGCAAGGAGGTAAAGCAGATTTTCTTGGCAATAACAAGGTGGCCCAGGAGCTTATAAATAACAACCAAATTAGCTTGTCTCGGGGAGCCATTACTTATCCCCGGCCCCTGTGCTTTTATGATTATGGATCATGGTTGTTGTTTCCCACTTATTCCAGTGGAGCAATGTTTGGGGACGGGCTGAGATTACATTCAGTGGCTGAATTTGTGTCCAAACCAGAATATCACTGGCAGTATGCATCTGGTGGAAGTATGCTAAGATCATGGCTTCCTTTGTGAGTCAGGGCCAGGGTCAAGGATTTGATGACCCCATTCCTGACCAAGTGAAGTGAATAAGTATGACAGCCCCTGACATTGGCAGGGCCTTTACTGGGCATCTGCCGTTGTCTCGTTTGGCTGTGCGAGATGACCTTCATTCACCATGTTTTATAAATGAGGAAGCATATTGTTAAGCTCAGCACTAGACACACTACATAACTGCTCTAAGGTCGTGGACATAATAAGTAGCAGAAACGGGTCCCTGCAGCTCCGAAGGTCTCCTCACCTGCCGTTAAGGTTTACCACCCTCCAAGGCATTCAGAGAAGAAAGCCACACCTGGACCAGCAGTGGCCTGCCCCTTTCTCTCTGAGCCCCAGGACTACCCCCAGGGGGCTTGGGACAGATGGGCCTTCTCAGCCTCCTGGTTCTTCAGTGGTCTGTCCTCCTGTAACCCTTCATGGCTTATTCAGGGGGTGGAAGTTTCCCTCTCTCTCAGTGGTGTCTTGAAGAGTCAAGATTCCAACCACAGAACAGTAAAGTCCACAGTAGTCTTATATGGCTTCAGTTCTTTCTTCCCCTGAGAACGGTCCTGTAACTGCTAATAGCGGGCTGCTCATTATTCCCATGTTTCCCAAACATGTTCCAAGAAACACCCAGTCTGGTGGTGGTGAGGAAGATGATGATGAAGCTTCTAAAATTTCACAGGCTGACTGGCATTCTTACCCAGACGACCTTCTCTCCGTGTTGAAAAGCTACTGTTTCCCTTTAAAGTGGTCTGTGAATCTGCTCAAGCACTTCATAATACACAGCTTAGATCCCTAGAGTTCTAGGGAAGGAGGAATTCTGGGGGTGGGGCAGAATCTCTAAAATGCCTCACTGTGCAATCAAGCCTAGGGAGGAAAGCAAGAAAGACAAAGAGAAACTTGTTGGGGAGAGAAGCGGAACACCTGATGAGACCTAGACCAGATAGAGTAATGTCCAGAGCATGGAAGAGGTAGACCAATAGGATGTGGCTGGAAGAGAGAGGAGACATGCAGCTTGCAATCTTGAAAATGAAATATTTTTTAGAAATGATGTTCAAGGTTTAGTCATTACAGAATGGAAAGGATGGTGTTGAGAGTGTCCAGGGGTTGAAGGTATAAGGAAGGCTGTCTGAGAAGATGCTGCCTTACATGAATTTCAATATATATTGGGACATTTCTTAGGAAGTTCATAGGAACATATAGTTTTAAGAATTCTATTTGACACAGCCTTCTCTCTCCGGAGGAATCCATATTTTTATCTGTTCCAAAGCTCTGTTTCAAAGAGGAGTTACAATCAGCTGCAAATTACTGAGCCTGGAAATAACACTGTGTTCAACATGACAGTGGTGTAGTTTCTCTCGTGTAAAAGTCTGCAGATAGATAATCCCAGGCCAGTGTGGTGATGCCCTAATGTAATCAAGTCCTCAGATTCCTCCTATCCCTCTCTGCCTTCCTCGAGGCTGCCCCATGGTACTATGTGATCACTGCTGCAGCAGTCATCACATTCTTATTACAGGAAGAAAGAAGTAGGAAATGAGAAGGGCAAAATGCAACCCGCCAGCTAAGTAAACCTCATTTAAAGAGCTTTCCCAAAAGTCTTTTCTGGTGACTTCTGCCTGCATCTCCTTAGCACCCCCCCCCCGCCCCCCATTTATAGATATGGCAGACTGGGAAAAATACATGTACTGTTTTTAGTTGGAGCCCTGGTGGTGCAGTGGTTAAGAGCTCAGCTGCTAACCAAAAGGTCAGCAGTTCGAATCTACCAGCCACTCCTTGGAAACCCTATGGGGCAGTTCTACTCAGGATCAACTCGACAGCAATGGGGTTTTAGTTTGGTGCAGCCATCACCACAATCTATTTCAGAACATTTTCATCACCCCAGAAAGAAACCCTGTACCCATTTGCAGGTGCTCCCCCGCTCCCACTTTCCCCCAGACCCTGGCAACAACTAATCTTTTTTCTGTTTCTATTGATTTGCTTATTCTGGGCATCTCATGTAAATGGAATCATACAATATGTGGCTTTTTGTGACTGGCTTCTTTCATTTAGCATAATGCCTTCAAGGTCCACTCACGTTTTAGCATGTATCAGCACTTCATTCCTTTTGATGGTTAAATAATACTCCGTTATATGAATATACCACATTTGTTTATGCTTTCATCAGTTGATGGACATTTGGGTTGATTCTGCTTTTTGGCTATTATGAACAATGCTGCATATTAATATGAACATTCATGTATAATCCATTAACTTTTTATCTGAATTGTCTCTCAATTGCTTAATAGTTAGAATGAAAAAGAAGTTACCTATAATATCATTCCAAATCAAGAGTGTAATTTCTCACTTGTTTTACTGAACAAAGATGTCTTTCTAAATTGCAGTTAGTATGGCTTGTTCAAGATGGATCAACTTCTTTTTAATACACATATAATGTTGACACAGAAAGTACATAAATCCTGAGTGATCTGATTCTCCCCAAGTTGAAGGCAAAACCCAAATCAAGAAATACAATGTGAGACCAATGTCGCTCATTAATATAGATGCCAAAATTCTCAACAAAATTCTAGCCAATAGAATTCAGCATCATATCAAAATGATAAACACCACAACCAAGTAAGATTCATAGCAGGTATGCAAGGATGGTTCAACATTAAAAAAATCAGCCAAAATAACCTACCACATAAATAGAACAAAAGAAAAGAACCACATGGTCAACTGAGTTGACACAGAAAAGGCATCTGGTAAAGTCTGACACCCATTCCTGATAAAACCTCTCAATAAACTAGGAAGAGAAGGGAAATTCCTTGACATAATAATGGGCATCTATACAAAATCAACAGCCAACATTATTCTCAGAGGCCAGAGGCTGAAAGCATTCACCCTGAGAATGGGAACTAGACCAGGATGCCCTTTACCACCACTCCTATTTAACGTTGTGCTGTAAGTCATAGCTAGAGCAATAAGGCAAGGAAAAGAAATAAAGGGCATCCAAATTGGAAAGGAAGAAGTAAAACTATCCCTATCTGCAGATTATATGATCTTATACACAGAGAACCCCAAAGATTCCACAAGAAAATTACAGAAACTAACAGATTGAGCAGTGTAGCAGGACACAAGATCAGTATACAAAAATCAGTTGGATTCCTATACACCAACAAAAAGAACTTTGAAAAGGAAATCAAGAAAACAATACCATTTATTATAGCCCCTAAAAAGATAAAATACTTAGGAATAAATCTAACCAGAAACAAAAAAGACCTATACAAAGAAAACTACAAAATACTATTGCAAGAAACCAAAAGAGACCTACATAAATGGAAAAACATACCATGGTCATGGATAGGAAAATTCAACATAGTGAAAATGTCAATTATACGCAAAACTATCTACAGATGCAATGTAATCCTGATCCAAATACCAAGAGCATTCTTTAACAAAATGGAAAAACTAATCACCAACTTTATATGGAAAGGAAAGATGCCCTGGATAAGCAAAGCATTACTGAAGAAAAAGAACAACATAAGTGACCTCACAGTACCTGATCTCAGAATCTTCTATATAGCCACAGTAGTCAAAACAACCTGGTACTGGTACAACAATAGATGCACAGACCAGTGGAACAGAATTGAGAACCCACCTATGGTCAGTTGATCTTTGATGAAGGACCAAAGCCCATTAAAAGGGGAAAAGACAATCTTTTTAACAAACATGGCTGGAGAAACTGCATGTCCATCTGTAAAAAAATGAAACAGAACCCATACCTCACACCATACACAAAAACTAACTCAAAATGGATCAAAGACTTAAATATAAAACTTCAAATGATAAAGCCCATGGATGGAAAAATAAGGACAACACTAGAGTAATAGGGGCCCCAACACAAGGCATAAATACAGTACAAACCATAACTAACAATGCACAAACACCATAAGATAAGCTAGATAACTGGAAGCTCCTAAAAATTAAACACTTATGCTCATCAAAAGATTTCACCAAAAGAGTAAAAAGAGAACCTACAAACTAGGGGAAAAAATTGGCTATGACATATCCAACAAGAGTCTAATCTCTAAAATCTATAGAATACTTCAACATCTCAACAACAAAAAGACAAATAATCCAACCAAAAAATGGGCAAAGAATATGAACAGACACTTCACCCAAGAAGACATTCAGGCAGCTAACAGACACGTGAGGAAATGCTCACAATCATTAGCCATTAGAGAAATGCAAATTAAATCTACAGTGGGATACCATCTCACCCCAACATTACTGGCACAAATCAAAAAAACAGAAAATAACAAATGTTGGAGAGGTTGTGGGGAGATTGAAACTCTTATGCACTGCTG